CATGAGTCTATGCGCACTCTGTTACACACCATGAGTCTACGCGCACTCTGTTACACACCATGAGTCTACGCGCACTCTGTTACACACCATGAGTCTACGTGCACTCGGTTACACACCATGAGTCTACGTGCACTCTGTTACACAGCATGAGTCTACGCGCACTTTGTTACACAGCATGAGTCTACCCCCACTCTGTTACACAGCATGAGTCTACCCCCACTATGTTACACACCATGAGTCTATGCGCACTCTGTTACACAGCATGAGTCTACTCGCACTCTGTTACACACCATGAGTCTATGCGCACTCTGTTACACACCATGAGTCTATGCTCACTCTGTTACACACCATGAATCTATGCGCACTCAGTTACACACCATGAGTCTATGCGCACTCTGTTACACACCATGAGTCTACTCTCACTCTGTTACACACCATGAGTCTAAGCGCACTCTGTTACACACCATGATTCAACGCGCACTCTGTTACACACCATCCCTGAACATAAGATTAGAGGATAAGGTCAGAATGACGTGGTCGAGACGTGCGGCGACGTCAGCTGCCAAGCCACTTAATGGCGACATGGCCGAGTTTCTGTACTACACCAAACAGATACAGTTACAGTCTTGCCATAGGAATTGTTTTTTAAACAAGAGGAACGTGCTTTGAATATAAATTTATTTATGTCTATTGAATCGTCATTGCCAGGGGCGTCATTTCAGGTTTTTTTCAGGGGAGGGGAGGTGTGTGAAAAATTTGGTCGGCTGTTACGTTGTTTATTATTGGAGGCGCCACAGTACATAGCAATTTAAATAAAACCTGCAAATTCAAAGGGGTGGGGGGAGCAAATGCCCCACCTTGCCTACCCAAATGACGTCCCTGCTCATTGCCCTGAACATTTTCACTTACCCTAATTTGCAGCAATTTACCCAGGATTTACATGGATAATCATAAATATATTAAAAAAAAATTGAAATAAATTCGATTACATTAATTAATGAGATCCTTTTTGAGGAACTGAAGGATTTCTTTGAAAACTGTTTTCTCTTCAGGTTTCGGAGATGGGTTACGTCATTAAAAAAAACAACAACAACACAAGATACAAATTGGTTTATTTGGCGTCATAGCGACGGGGATACTGTCCCGGGTGTTAAAGCAATTTCTCTGCATTGTGTTTACGTTCAATTGGAATGAAAAAAACAAAAGTTCGGGCATTTTTGTTCAACAAATTCATGGCAAGTAACATGAACATAAATAAGAAAAACAACAAAAGTACAACAAAGCAATACCTGTCTGTTACGTTATGAGTTAAGTGTTAAAAGTTTAATTATGGCTCGTAATCAAAACAGTATGGGGCAAAGAAAAAAAAACTATTAAAAAAAACAACAACAAAGAACTAATTTACCTCACTAACATTTTCGTAAGCTCTGTCTCACAGTTTAGAGCGCAATCAACAATCTGTAGCATGTGATCTGCCTTAGAATCCTCCCACTTTTATTGTCCCAGTCATGGAACGGTTCAGCAGTGCTTACATTACTAAAGCAAGGGACTTACAGAAAAAAAAAAAAAGAAATTTCTTGAGCGGGAAATAATTTTTTCAAATGTTAACAACTCACCGTGTAGGTTCACACCAAGGCTCTGGTCTTCCCCGCACCCCCCCCCCTCAATCAACAATCTGTAGCATGTGATCTGCCTTAGAATCCTCCCACTTTTATTGTCCCAGTCATGGAACGGTTCAGCAGGGCTTACATTACTAAAGCAAGGGACTTACAGAAAAAAAAAAAAAAAGAAATTTCTTGAGCGGTAAATAATTTTTTCAAATGTTAACAACTCACCGTGTAGGTTCACACCAAGGCTCTGGTCTTCCCCGCACCCCCCCCCCCGGCCTCACAAAAAAAGGAGGTGGGGTGGGGTTGTTTAAAATATTAAAAACACCCGCCCGGGTACTCGTCGACCCATGGAACCGGGTACCCGACGACCCATGGAAACGGATACCCGTCGACCCTTGGAAACAGGTACCCGACGACCCATGGAACCGGGCACCCGACGAAGCAGACACATTTTAACGTAAATATAAGACACACCATATTAAAGCGACCAAGCATTGAAAGTGCTTTTAAAATAAATCTTTGTCGAGAAGACTTTCTTTCAAAGACGGGTTAAAACGCATTAAAATGTAGAAAATGATTTTAAAGTACTTAAAATGCATGACGCCAAGAAAGACTGACAGATGGGTTCCAGTTGACAGCCCTAGTGGGGAGAGGGGGAGGCTAATGGTTGTCCCAGAACCATGAACAAAATATTGTCAACCAAAATCAAAACACAAGGAAAAAAATATTTAAAAGAATGGAAATGTAACACTGGCTTCTGACAAAATTTTAGGTTTAACTTTTAGATTACTGCACACCCAACTTAAGCCATACATATTTTTTTTTCAAGTTGTTGATGTTTTGAGCATTTCAAGTCTGACTTTCCCACTACCGTTGTACAATGTACACTCTTGTACACCACTAACTAATGCACGATCACCCGTCCAACTACTTTGGTGTAAGTTAACGGGGGATAAGTGATGTTTGTTTTAAACTGATAAAATAAAATTATATGATTGTTTCCCCTGAAATGTAAACCATGGACTATCTTTGCTATTAATACTATCAAAATATCTTCCCAAAAGGAATAGTACCGGTAACAGCAAAGAGTACGGTGACGTCAGAGCACCCTCGTCATACAGGATAAACATGAGCTGAATAGGTTAATGCAGCGGTTCTCACCCTGTGGGTCGCGACCCCTTGGGGGGGGGGGGTGGTGTCGAACGACCCTTTCACAGGGGTCGCCTAAGACCATCGGAAGACACACGGTTATGAAGTAGCAACGAAAATAATTTTGTTGTTAGGGGTCGCCAGAACACGAGGAACTTTATTAAAGGTTCGCGGCATTAGAAGGATTGAGACCCACTGGGTTAATGCATGTTTCAAAGACGCCAATACTTACACAAGGAACAATTTCGGTGCATAGAAGATTTCAAATTTTTTAAATTGAATTTTTTACATGTTGCGCATTCAGTAGTAGCTTTCTAAAGTCCAAACACAATTAGTTTGTCTACATATTTCTCCCCCCCCCCCTTTTTTTAAAAAAAAAAAACTGACATCAGATATTGATCCGACGGTGTCAAAGAAGTCCTTTTCATGTTTCTCATCTTCCTATAAGTCTCCATGATTTTCATCAAATGTTTCGAAATCAGATTTAAGGTTCCAAATGTG